GTGCCTTCGCTTGCTTCTTGTTCTTCACCGTACCCCACTCTTTCTGCTCGTGGTTTTGACGGTCCTGGACGCCACAGCGAGAAGCCCAATATGCTTTTCATGCCTGCTGGCCGGCCGCACAGCAGCAGGAAGATTCGGGCTGTTTTCCCCAACAGCCCTCCCTGAACCCGTCAGGTTTTGCAACCCCTTCCACTTTCTCTCGTTTCTGCATGCTCCAACTCAAGGAAGGTTCAACCTATCCTGTATGTGATGGACTGCTCGAAGATTTACGGCCCGCAAAACACATGATTGCAATGCGCCTCGACGATGTTGGCCACAGCTATCTGAATTTGGTTCCTTAAGCAAATGGCTTGCAAACATTCCAAAGCTCGACCCATGCTGCCTGACATGCATTGACCATACACATGAGCCCATCACTCATCGAAATGACACCGCCGTACCAAAGCAGCAATGTCACTTCGGGAGTACTCGAAAAAGTCAAGCACGCCCGTCCTGAGAGCAGGTAACCACATAAAACCCAGGAGACTTCGGACTGTTGCTACTGCTACATGCCACGGTCAAATGAGTACCCCGCAGCTGCTTGATGTGCCTCTCGGTTCGAGGCGAATACCTTTGACAATCGTTGCATTGACATCATCTACAGGATGTGTGAATCTGGGGAGGTGGCGTCTTTTCGTCAGCATCACCCTTTCCAGCAACCTCATTTTTCGAAGTCGCACGGACCCACTGCAAACGAATACATGCAACAACAAGATCTGCCGAGACGCCTGGGGCGTTTAGATCCTGGTCCAGAGACTAGGAGAGTAAGTTAACCCTCCCCCTATACCCCGGACCCCTCCAGTGAGCACGATTTCGGGCATGGGTCCAACCAGCTCTTTTTTGTCGAATGGGCAGCAGGGCCGGGGGGGGGGAGCGGGGGGCCAGGGCGGAGGCCGGGGCGATGGGGTTCCGGCTGTGCCACGTGCCGAGTCGGTCTTGCGTTGGCGATTAGAATTAGGAGGGGGATGTCTCCGAAATGCTTGTTCCTGGAATGGTTGAAAATGCAGTTTCCCCTGCGTGCCACCTCATGTCAAAAGCTTGAACTCGGTCTACTGTTGCAATGCACGTTCCTATGGGAGTTGCCGGATTTGAAGAAAGCCTCTACCGCGGAGCTTGTTTTGCAATTCACACACACATCACTAATAACATTTCCTACAACTCATCATCGAGCTGTTCTAAGAAATATTCATGGCTGGCGTGGCGTTTTCCTAGCGCTACATGCCGCCTCATGTCGAAGAGTAAAAACGATGCCAACCATCCAGGTTCATTCATTCTGGGTAGCCCATATATAGCTACGCGTATTTTGGACCGTGGCAATATGTCCCTGCACCACTAAGCACTAGTCACTAGTCTGAGCGAAGGCCTGAAACCTTCTGAGCTACACGCGGTCTCAAGGACTCGCAGCTGCTGGGCGACGCGAACGTCGTTGGAGGCCGGTGCCTCGAAGAAAACACTCTCCGAAGAGTCGCACATGTCAAGCAGAAGGCAGGGTTGTCAGCGACATTGGAATGAATTGAAGTACAATAGTTGTAGCAACTAACTCAGAGCACTGCGGCCCCGGCTGCGGCAGCGGCTGGGGCCCCATTTTCTGGCGGGGCAGCTGGCGGCGGTTGCGCCTGCATTGAGCGTGGTCCCGGCATAGCATGCCCACACAGTTTAGCAGCTCCCAACGGGCCTTCTTTTTGGTTACGACCTTCTTAGACATGGCCGGACCTGCAACCACAACTTTCACCCAAGCAAACTATGCAGTTCGTGCTAGCTTGCAGGCTCTACCATGCTTGCATCGCACCTTGGGGCGAAAGCGCCCCAGGCTTCTGCCCTAGGGGCAAGCCCAAACCTATCAGTTGGGCAACCTTCGAGCCGCGACTTTGCTGAATTTCAAAAGCTTCCCAGTGGAGACTAGCAGCTAGCGGATACTGCAGCTATAAAGGGAATATGCACAAGCTTTAGAAACTGGAGACAGCTTTTTGAGACGCTGTTTCGCTCATTTGTGCGCTAACGGTTCCTGGACAAGCCTCCAGCCTTACAAGCTCTATCTGTGAAGGCATCCACGTGCGATCGCAGCTATTACAGCTCTCGCGGGGAAGCGGTGCTGCAAGCACCATTTCACTTGTCGGCCTGATCAGATTTATCAGACCTTGCTGTCGTCTCACTCCTGTCGCCTCTCGCGCCTGTCAAGCTGTCTGCGAGCTCTGAAACCCCAAGCACTGAAGGTCCAAGCTTGCGAACTCTGCGACTCTGCGCCTTGCGCGTCTTTTTTCTGCCAACCTGTAAAGGGCGGTCACGGGCCACATCCCTTTGTGATGCCGCTGTGTTGCTGGAGTTCAGCCCCCTTGTCAGCGCGCCTCGAGCATCGTCTTTTTCCTTCCTTTGCCAGGACCAACCTTTGCGGCAAGTCCGCGCCAATTGGATCTGCATCAGAATGTTGGTGAACTAGCAATGCTAAGGGAGAGGCTTCGGTTCCTTTTCCAATCATTCCCCCACCAACCATCACTGTCAGCCTGGAAGGCTTCCAAAATGTGCAAAAAGTTGCAGTTCAAAGGCAGCTGAAGGGACCTGCCTGGGGTTTGTCCCAATCATTCCACTTCTTGTTCCACTCCCATCGGCCATTCTGCGATAGTGCTTCAGAACAGGCTGGATGTCAAAACTTATACCACATACTGCGGACACTACGCAGTTCTTTTCCCGCAAGCACAGGGCCAGCTGTGTCCAATCCTGCCTGCGGTTTGGCTCCATCATCTTCACGCCACGACTCCCAATCCCAGTTCTTGTTCTGCACCAGGGAATGGAATTCATGTCGCATCATGTTCAGCACAGACCATGCACATGTACTGGGCGCACCCATCTCTCACCGGAGCCGTCCCACCTCGGTGGTAGCGCCAGCAGAATCAGATGAGGCAATTTCTGGGCTCTCAGCAAGGCACCACTGGCCGCTTTGCCAGTGCTCCTTCTCTTTCTCTTTGTCCTTCTCCTTTTCCGGCTCTTTCTCCGTCTCCTTCTCCTTATCCTTCTCTGGCTCCTTCTCCTTTGGCTTCTCCTCCTTTGGCTTCTCCTCCTTTGGCTTCTCCACCTCCTTTTCCTTCAGCTTGCCATCGTCTTTGTGATCACCATTCTGCCTCATATCCCGTCCATTCCCAGTAAGAGCGTGGAAACATGGGCTACAAGGAGTGGGAATTTCCGAGAATAGAGGGCCCCCTTTGTAAGCCCTTGCAAACTACCTTCCCTTGCGGGTCCCCAACCTCCCTATGAACCTAGACGGATCCGCAAATCAATCTATAATCATGATAAGACCCTCTAGAAAGACCACCTAACTCGGAAATACCCCACGTTTCAGGTCGGCTCAGCTCCGCGCTGTTCCTCCGCCTTTGCCCCCGCGAAGAGGATGGCAGGATCCGGCGGGAGTGCCGAAGCTGGCCACGCTCAGAGTTGGGGCTTAGGGTTTTGGGTCAGAATGAGCTGCTTTTGAGGGACTAAGTAAGGGATGTATGAGAAGTTTGAAGAGGTTTTGAGAAGCTCGCAGGTCTTCTGGAAGCTTCCTACCATGTGGCGTACGATGGCTTCTTCTCTCAAGCTAGAAGACTGCCAGTGGAACACAATAGAGCGGGGGTAATTGTCCTGTTTCTTTGACGGTAGGGAATTTGCTTACGGTGGCTTATGAAACCCAAGGTTTAGCTTGCGGCGCTCGCTTTTCTTGACAAATGCTAACAGCGCTTACGGTGGCAACGTGGGGAACCCCAAATTAGACCTTACGGTGCTTACGGAGCAAGTGCCACATGCGGAACGGTCTTGCTTCCGGTAGCTTACGAAATCCCCACGTTTACTTACGGCAAGCTCCTTACCACCACTCGCTAAAGGGCTTGATCTCTGCTCAATAGAATCAGCTAGCTGCTGCCGCCAGTTCATTGGCTGGTGTTGCGCTTGCATGTTGCATGTCCTCACCCAAGTTCTTGATTGCTTGGATGAAATATACACAAGTGGTTAGGCTTAGGACGAGAGCACAACAAATATCGGATTTAGCATGACATATACGATAGTCCTTGTCACATGCGCGTATGAATACAACTTAATATACGGCCGTGACCGGCGATGTGTGCAAATGCCCTGGCCTGCAGACGTGTCATGGTGAAATCCATTTTTGCCAACCCCCTTCCCACCTCGCGACAGTGTCAGTGCAGGCAAGGTCAGCTTACTGCCAGAGCCGAGTCCCGAGCCTGTGCCGCCTGCGCCGCCTTTGCCCTTCGGAGCGGGCTTCGGGGCTGGCTTCGGGGCCGGGATCGCGGCGCTCACAGCGCCTGAGCTGAAGCAGCGCAAGTCTTTGGGTGTCTTTTTTTGGCGGTGGAAATATTCCACCTGAGGGCGGGACGCTCGGCTTCACGTGTTGCAGCCGCTGCAGCTGCAGCTTGAGCCTTTTCGGCTTCCCGAGCTCGCTCTGCTTCGCGAGCTTCCGCCGCAGCTTTCCTGCTTTCGTAGATTTTCGTTTGTTTTTGGTTTGTTTCCCGTGCATACAGAGCTACCTCAAGGCTTCATGCCACCCACGTGTGCCTCTCGGCTTCGCGGCGCTTGTTCTCCTCCTCCCTTTGCACTCGCTCCTCAGTTGGCCATGCCCCTCAGAAATGATTAGCACTGCGGACTGGAACTCAGGCAAAGCTGACAAGACAGTCCTGCTCTTTCCTCTCCTGCTCTTTCTTGTCCTCCTCCTCCTTCAGCTTGCGCAGCTCCTGAAACCAAGTCGCGCAGGCAGATCCGAAGGCAAGACCAGCTGCTTCTGTGCGACAGGCTCTCCCCACCCTTGATAACAGAAGATGTCCAGGCCTTCGCTTGCTTCTTGTTCTTGACGGTCGACCACTCGTCAGGCTCCAGTGGCGCTCTCTCCTGGAGATGGGAAGAGCAGCTTGGCTGCCCGCTCATGCTCTGCTCAATAGAGGATGTCAAATCAAACATCCGCAGTCCGGGATGGACATGAAGTGCTCTTTCTTCTCATTCTCCTTCTTGTCCTCCTCTTCTTTCAGCTTTCGCTCTTCCTGTCCAACTGGTGGGAGATGCACAAATTGTCTCAAAGTCTAAGCCAATTAGCTGAACCGGTCCTTGGCTTGCTTCTTGTTCTTGACGGTCGACCACTCATCGGGCTCATGATTGACGGGCTCCTGGCATTGAAGCTCACAGACGTCTCCACATGTAGAATTCTGATTAGCCTAACAAGCTGTCGCGCTCGCCTGTCTCTTGCCAGGGGCAGCGCCATTTGTTTCCTCCACCTCTGCCTCATCTTCCTTGGTCTTCTTCTTCTCCTGAGGTGACTCGACTCATTGTTCGTGATTCCTTTGCTTCCGTGGTACGACTGACAACGCCTTTGTTTGCTTCTTGCGCCCCACTGTCTCCCACTGGTCTTGCCCATGATTTGAGCGGTCCTGGCGTGCAGTGGCCAACAGCCGGAACTGCACCATCTCCCAAGCCTTCATCTAGGTAATCCTCCCAAGGAGCGCCCCCGCCTCGATGATGTTGGCCACTGCTATCTGGATCTGGTTCCTGGGCTTATCAAACGCCAACCGCTGCCAGCGGGACAAGTTGGCTCGGCTTTCACTAAAGATATGGTAAGCATGCTGAGGTAGGGGCTCGTCGTAGTGACACTTCCGGACCAAAACAGCAATGTCGCTTGGGGAGTACTCAAAAAAGTCGAGCACACCAGTCCTAGGCGAAGCCACGTTTGAAGCCCAAGAAACAAAGCCACAAATGGCGCAACGATGCTCAACGCTTTGTTTGCGGGGTCTCTGCTGCATTTCGGGTAACTTCAACCTCCGGGTCTTTCGAGCGGCGTTCAGTCTAGCTGAGCGCACTCTCCAGACCCCTAGGCATAAGCTGTAGCTGAGCTTAGGTTGTTAACGACCCTGTTGGGTCATTGACAGCAAGGGAGATAGCGGTACCACACCTTTTTCAATAGTCTGCATGTTGTCCAGCGCCAGTAAGCCCTCTGTGAAATTAAACCGCAGCTCAGTGCCCGACAGCTGCTGGATGTACCTCTCTGCTCGAGGCGAGAACCTGGCAAGGATTTAGTCAGTCGGCTAATGTCAGCTACATAAGGGGAAGCCGAACCAAGGGAGAGGCTTCTTCTCATCTACGTCGCCTTTTCCAGCCACCTCCGCAGCCAGGAGCTGAGATCAAAGACAAAAGCATTGGCAAAGCAGACCACTTGAGCTTCAGACGGTCTCAAGCACACGCCTGGGTCTGTCAGATTGTCAATGCATCCATCGTCCACTCTTTCGACAGTCAGGCTTGGGCAGCTGTTGGGCGACGCGAGAGTCCTTCGGTGCCTGTGCACTTAGCCATCTGATGATGGGCAAGCTGCACCGCAAAGCATGATAGCAAGGCCGGGCAAACTCCATTTACAACCCCTTTCTAATTTCGGCCAGCTGGTAAGATCCGGGTTTGATGAGGCTTGGGCAACAGGCGTAGCCCCGTTCTTTGCTGCGGCAACTCGTGGAGGCTGTGCCTGCTCAAACAAGATACAGAGGTACTACTCCAATCGGGCACATCGCGTGGACAAGTGCACCGCACCTTCTGTTTTGTCACGACCTTCTTTGACATGGTCGGACCTGCGCGATGCTCACATTTAATGAGAATCCTGCTGCAGCACGCGATCCTGACCTGGTTGGCAGTGCCCCAGGCCTGTGCCCAGGGTCAAGCCCAACCGGCTTGAGCCGCAACTGTTCAGATGCAGGCGGGCGATGGTAGGACATGGTACCAGTAGAATGGAAGCAGACATTTGGGACGAGCATGTTCCCTGCTCCTTTCAAACAATCTGCTAGGCACCTAATCGGCTATACCCAGGCTTGGAAGCGGCTGGTCCCAGTCATCAGCACATTCAGCACCAAAAATTGCCCGCTGAAAGCCCCGTTGAGAGCCCTCAGGAAATTCACCAGCCTTGCGAAACCTAAACCCTTCCCAGCAGTTGATTTGATCGAATTTTACATCTGCGCAAGCTGAGCACACAGTAGCCGCAGGCCGCTCACTAGCACAACGCCAGCACATCATCTGCACATATTTGCAGCCTCTACTGGATGCGCATGGCTCCGTCATGGCGCTCCGGAATCGATCAGCTTGCCCTGAACGCTTTCCCAAGATGCTGTGGGAATGCCAATGTCAGCCTCTTCCCACAATGATCAACATCAGTTGAGCATTGCAGCGTAGTCTACGTACTCTTGGAGAGAGACGTCGCCTGACTGATCCTCAGATCGACAAAATTCAATATGAAAAACCTATGAGCAGAGCGGCTGGTCAAACTGCAGTGAGGCAACCTTGTCAGAGTCCAGGAAGAACTGGTAAAGCTCCACATCCGAAATGCCGCCCTTGAAGTGCGCGCGAACCTAACATCAACACCGCAGATTTGCCAGTTCATCTCGCAAACCTGAAGCCGGCCTCCTGGGCGTCCATTTGGTCATCCTGTCCATCCATGAACAGAGACTTACTTCCACGGAAATTTCTAGGTCCTAAGTGGACCTTGTTGAAGTCCACATCAACAAAGTCTTGCTTGAACTCCTGCATCTGGGCAGCTGTCACCTGGGAGGCCCATGCTGATGAGCCAGTGAAGAGGCTCTCCTGTCATTTTCTGCCCGCGCAGATGAGCTCTGTACTGGCTTGGGCGTGCTCAGCTCTAAGTTCTGTATGTGCGGTGGAATTTGTATCCTTGGCAACTTGCGGAGCTTGAGGGGGATTTCACATTCCATTGCAGATTCGAGGCGTCGGCAAAGGCTCTGCGCCTACAGAGACGAGTAGCGAGGCCAAGCTTGCAACGAGATGGGCACCTGAAACAGGCTGGCAATGGGAAAAACAAGAACGCTTGCAAAGAATGCAAATACCACAAAAGCCACCTCGGTATGCCATGGCTTCCAATGGCGTCAGCAGTACTTCATAAAACTGTTTGGGTCTGAATGACTGTGTCACTGTATAACTGAGTGTGCAGTCCTCTGAGTCCATCTTGCTGTGGCAATCTCTCAGTCCGGAATTTCAAGGCGCGTGTCCCTGATGGCGCAGGCAATCACATGCCTACAAAGTGTCGAAGACTCTTGGCGCGCATTGCGGCGCGCAAATTCAAATTGCCCAGGATCACCCTCCTTTTCTGCAGCTCAGACACGCGGCTAAACGAGTTAGAGCTGCAGATTTCAAAAAGTATTCAGTGGAGCAGCTGAGTGCTCGCGAAAACGGAGTTTGCCTTTCCCATCCACTTGCCAAAACTTGGCAGACTACCTGCCTGAACAAATGCAGGTCAGGTCTCTCCCTAAACCGGCCTTTGGCCGTTGGAAAACCGACGACGTCCAAGACACCAGCCAGGCCTACATGCGCAGTATCCGATGGGAATCTCCTTTAACTCAAGTAAAGATGGGTTGGAACACTTGGCGTCCTTGGAAGTACATCAAAGTACATCACTAGAGAGGTAGCAAAGCTCACTTAGCTGCAGCGCAGGGCTCCCATGGCCCTACGGCGATTAGTAGTCTGACAGATCATGGGCATGACATGTAGGAGATATCTCTTTTCTAATTAGTTTTCTTGCAGCAAGCTGCGAGCTCGCATCCTCAAGGGCGTTGACGATGCCACAGAATCTAAACGATGCTGATGTGGAGGTAGAAACCGCTGTGAAACTCAGAAAGGGCAACAGCCTGGCGACCTCAGCGAGTCAACTCAGAGCTGCTCAGGATATTCGAGCATCGTGAGATTGTCATGAAGATCCGGGCTCATCTTCCAGCTGGAGGTGGTCTCCCAGGCCTGTGTGCTCACAGAGGAACCATGGGTCCAAGCTAGCTTGTTGTGGGGCATCGGCCCGGTTGCCACAAGGGCATCCTCCTCGCTCTGATCAGCGAGGGGGTTGAAAAGTTCCTCCAACCCAGCTCAGGCATTCAATGCAAAGCCTCCACGTAGCTTTGGGAGGGCCTTCATTTTCTCCTCAACGATGCTCTGCAGCGGCGTCCTAAGCTTCCGATGCTCTGCTCCTGCGTCTTCAGTTTGTTCATCAGATTCTGGGCAGCGGTCTCTGGAGGCCGCGCCACAGCTGCGGCTCTTGCCAGTGCGTCTGTGCAGTCCTGCGTGGACCTTTAGGCAGCAACTGCTAGTACTGCGGAGGCTTCGACAAACTTGAAGGCCCTGGCTGGGTACCATAGCTCTTCACGAAGTACTCCATGATGTTCGTGAGGCCGGGCACCTGGTGCCATCGAGACATGTCGGCACATTGTTGCCTGCAGCAAGATTCCTCCAGTCAGGCCTTCGGCAGCTTGATACCAACTTCAACATAGTTGGACGTGACTATCTCATCACCATCCCAGCCTCAGACTTGTCCAGCATCAAGCAATCAAACAGACTATACAACTCTACAAGGCGGGCCAAATCTCAGGCTGCTACCAACGGTGGCCCTTGTCCAACCAGCTGCTGAGATGGTGAGCCTCACGCTGTAAAGCAACACTTGCTCGGCGAATGCCACACGACAGCCATGGCTGTATTGCATGCAGGGCCCCTGCGTGGATCGGAATGGAAATCCCAGCTGCAGCGTGAAAATGTTTTCGCCATTTTGCAGCACCAGATCTCCCTCTATCCGGTCCTGCAACATAAGCTTTGGATGTCAGGGACAACCAGACAAAGGCTCCATGGCAGTCCTTGTAGGAGCCTTCACCCCCATCTCTTCCGGTAGTGCTTCGGAGCTGGGTTGTAAATCTTGGAGCCTTGAGCGGTTTTGCTGAACAACTTGGATGATTTGTGTGTGGAGCCTTTCATACAATGCCTTGCAGCCTCAAGCAAGCTCTCAAAAGAAGCTCCAGGGTCTTCTGATTCCTGTGCCCGCTGCGGGGATGGAGAT